TATGATTACTTGGTGGTACCACGTTTTGTGTGGTTTAGTATTACTCACTAGACATTGGGAAGGGCTGCTTCTGCAAACCATGCCCTGAAAATAATTTGAAGAAAAGTATTTTATATTTGTCTCACACCGATTGCATCTCTGAAGGTGATTGAGCTATGCTAGTTAGACCATAACTCACAGGAGCAGCAATAGACCATTTGGCCTGTCGAGTCTGCTCCACTATTCAATGAGATCATGGCTGAGCTGATAATCCTTGACTCCACTTTCCTGCCTTATCTCCATAACCCTTACTGATTAAAAATCTGCTATCTCAGCTTTGAATATACTTAATGACCCAGCCTCTGCAGCTGCGATTTTGCGATAAAGTACTCACAACTGTCTGAGAGAAGATATTCCTCATGATCTGTTTTAAGTGGGCGGCCCCTTACTCTGAGATTATGCTGCTTGTTCCTACCTGAGGGGAAACAGCCTCTCAGCATCTACCCTGTCAAGCTCCCTTAGAACTTTATAGTTTGTGAATGTTGTTAGTACGCAAAGATGCCAGCCTTTTTACAGGAAAATCGAGCAATCACACAATTTCTTCTTGAGTGATCTCTCATTGAAAAGGACCGCAGGGCTGTGTTTACCTTCAAAGTCAAATTATGGCACTGTCGTTTAGTGGTGTAATGAAGTCTCAGCCTAGGATTGATGTTAACGTCCAAGTGATGTTAACGCAAACGCTCAGGACAAAATTTGTCAATGTTCCATAGAATCCCTACAAAGTGGAAACAGGCCATTTGGCCCAACAGGTCCACACCAACTCTCCAAAGAGCAACTCATCCAGATTCACCACATCCCCCACGCTATCCCTGTAACCCTGCATTTCCCATGGCTAATTCACCTAACCTACACATTCCTGGACACTTGGCAATTTAGCATGGCGAATCCACCTATCCTGCGCATCTTTGGACTGTGGAAGGAAACCAGTGCACCCAGCAGAAACCGACACAGACACAGGGAGAATGTGCAAACTCCACACAGTAGGAAGAGATGATTGGTGGTGATTTAACTTGAGGGCCACCAGATCTCAGGCGAGGGGTGAGGTGCAGAAGGAGAGTCCTTCATGGTAACCTCAACTGGTGGTGGGAGTTGAACCCACACTGTTAGCATCCCACTACTTTGCAAACTAACCGTCCAGCTAATTGATTTGAACCAAATCCCCCTCCCCCTCAATGTTATAACATTGCATTGAGGGAGACAGTGACATGGTGGTATTATCACTAGATTAGTAATCCTGTTGTATCATATTTTAATGTGATATTGAAACTTACAATTTTGGGACTGGAACTGGTAATACTCAGCCCTTGCTGAGTAACTTGTATCAACCTTCTATCAACCCTACGTTTATGATTTAATTTATTGGATAAGCAGAAAATTAATATAATCACTAGGAGCTGGGCTGTGTCTCCAGAATACACACAGTTCTCTGAGAGAGGTTTAAGTGTGGTGTGGGCTCAAATTCAATTCCCAGAGTGAAAGAAGAGTGAGCTAATTAATCTAATACCCGTGAAAAAGCACCTTAATTTTTGCTTTCATTCATTTGTGGAATTAGGACCAGTATTTACTGCTCATTCTTAATTGCCAAGGAGAAGCAGGCCATTCAGTCCATCGGGTCCACACTGACCCTCTGAAGAGCATCCCACCCAGACCCACGCCAGTACCCTATCCCTGCAACCTGGCATTTCCCATGGATCATCTACCTAACCTCCACAGCTGTGGACACTATGGGCAATTCAGCATAACCAATCCACCTAACCTGCACATCTTTGGACTGTGGGAGGAAACTGGAGTACCCGGAGGAAATCTCAAATGGACACGGAGAATGTGCAGACTCCACACAGACTGTCACTCGAGAGTGGAATTGAACCTGGGTCCCTGATGCTGTGAGGCAGCAGTGCTAGCCACTGTGCCACCCCAGTTGTGAGATGTCTTTTTGAACTGTCACAGCCCATGTAGTGAATCTCCTGGGGAGAGAGTTTTGGGATTTTGTTCCAGTAATAATGAAGGAGTGGCCGTTAATGGCCACGTCAAGATGGTATGTGGATTGAAGGGAAACATGGAGCTAGCACTTGCTGCCATTGTGTTTCCAGTTAGTTCAGGTCATAGGTTTTGGAGAAGCATTCAAAGAAGCTTTGTTAATTTCTGGGCGATTCCATTCAGATCAGTTGGTGCAAAAACAGAGAAGTGCATTGGTTAATGCTTAAAAAAACCTACTAAAATCGAAGGGAAGGAAATGAGGTCTTTGTGGGGAAGAAAGCAAATGACATGGTGGTTAAGCCACAGTTGGGAGTCTTACATACAGCTCTGCGCACCTCATTACAGGAAGGATGTTGGAGCCTGGGATGTTTACAGTGAAGATTCACTGGCATCGTAAGAAGAATGATGGATTATAGTGTTGAAGAAAGGTTTTAAAAATTGAGGCTTTCTTTAACACGAAAGTACTGATAGAAGTTTTCAAAGTCATGATGGCTTTTTGAGACAATTAAAAGTTGCAAGCATTATGAAAGGTCATTTCCATCAGTTGGTGAACTAACAACAAAAGGCATCAACTCGTAATTGTCACAGGAAAATTAAAGAGAAAATTGAGAAAATTCTTTGTTCAAGAAAAAGTTGTTGGAGCTTAAAATGATTTTAGTACAGTGGCTAATGGGTTAAAGGCTGTAAAATCCCTAATCAGGGAACCAGGTGTGTGTTTGGAAGGGAAGGATGGAAAAGTGCATGGGATAGAGTCATAGAGTCATAGAGACATACAGCATGGAAACAGACCCTTTGGCCCAACTAGTCCACACCGACCATTTTCCCAAACCAAACTAGTCCCACTTGCCTGCTTTTGGCCCATATCCCTCCAAACCTTTCCTATTCATGTACTTATCTCAATGTCTTTTAACTGTTGTAACTATATCTGCATCCATCACTTCCTCTGGCAGTTTATTCCACATACGAATCACTCTCTATGTAAAAAAGTTGCCCCTCATGTCCTTTTTAAATCTTTCTCCTCTCTCCTTAAAAATATGCCCCCTAGTCTTGAACTCCCCCATCTTATGGAAAAGATCCTTGCTATTCACCTTGTCTGTGCCCACATAAGTCTAACAACAATAATAGAGAAGACACCAGTCCTGAATGAGCATGACACTGCACTGGACAGCTTTATTCGATGGGATGGAAGTGGAGTCTGTCATTCTTGTGCCAAGGCAGGCACAAACGACTGAGTAATCCCCACCTCTGCAATGATTAACTTGACACAGCAGTTAATTCATCTCCAGCAGTGGACACTTATAGCAACTGATTTTGTGGCCTTAAAGGTACAGGCTGGATCACACCGCTGTGCCTTAGCAATAGAACAAAACGCTGGTATTGCACTCGTGTCGTTAATAAAATAGCCCATACCCTGAGCTCATGTGACTGATGCCTCTGCAGATGCAAGTATAAACTCATCAAAAGTAATGTGTCCCATGTTTTGAGAGGAAGTGGAACAAAGAGACTAGTTCTTGTCCCTGAATCAAAATAAACCAAATTACTTAACGTAAATCCATGCCTCTCCTAGAGGGAGATAAACCTCATGTTTTAATAATGAGCAACCAAATGCCTGGTTTTCTCCATAATTAACTGTCTTTAACAATATTGAGGTGCGTATGTTTTAAAATGTGATTTCTGTGAATTGTGTTTTCTTTGCATGCCATGATTAGCCAAAGATAAGTCTAGTTTTTGACTTGAAGATATTTTCTTAGTTTTCTAATTTTTACAATAATTCACAAAGTAATTAGTTTGTCTTTTGACAAACATATCTTGCTCTTTATTCAACTGCAAAGAGAAACTGAGATGTCAATTTTAATAATTGATGCAGCTCCCCCTTACCATCATGTAGTGTTACCAGATATTCCAAAGACTTGTATTACCTTTTCCAACATGTAGGATTGATAGATCAAAATGACTTCCTCTGGTGGGATATCCAGGACAGGGGTAATAAGGCAGTAACTCTTTTTGTTTAGTTTATGACATCTAAAGTCTTTTGGCCACGAGGGGATTCCATGGAATCGATGAATATGTTAGATTTGTTTTTTTTCTGTGATTGCTAGTAATGTAAGTTATACACCATGTCTTGAGAATTCAGCATACTATAATTTTCACTGATGTTAATATGATAATATTGTTTCTGTTACTAATATAAAACAAAGAACCATGGATGCTGAAGATCTGAAACAAAAACAGAACCTGTTCTAAAGAAGGGTCACTAGACTCAAATGTTAACACATTTTTCTCTCCACTGATGCTGTCAGACCTGCTGAGTTTCTCCAGCTATTCCTGTTTTTATTTCTGTCAGGATTTTCTGAAAATGTTTTGCTGCATTGACAATTTTATTTTCCTCTGGATAACTGCTAATATCTTTCAGAAGTTAGAATAAGTAGCTCTCAGCTGATAATTCCATCCTTATCTTCAAAGCCCTTCAAAGACTTCTCTGTCCCTATCTTTGTAGCTCCATCTGGCCCTACATAATCTTTGAATGCTTCCAAATTTGATCCCCTCGTGAATTCATCATTTCCATCGCTGCCTGGGTTCTAAGCTGTGGATTTTCTTCTGAAATCTTCGACACTCCTTAGAACTTCACTCAAAGTAGTGCAACCTTTTCTATTTTTTTGAACATCAGTTGATGACATATTATGATAGATAATTCTCCTGTGGCGTGCCCTGGGCTGTTTAATATATTAAATGTGCTATATAAATGCTATATATAAATGTTCTTGGGTCCTCCCACAGATAAACATTTAAAACTATTACCTTGTGTTTCAATGAAGTTCTTACTCTCCATTATTCTGCAAATGGAGTTGCCCATTGGCAAAGTTCACTGCTTTAAAATGAGTTTTAATTTGCATGGCTCCTTTGGGTGCTGTACATATTTTTTTCCAGCTAAGTTATTCATGTTTTAACTTGCTTTTTTATTATCTCCCCTTATCTTTTTTCAGGAGACAGGAAAGGACACAGGAGCCTATCATTTATTAGTTTGTGACCAACCAGCAGTGAAGTCTTTGAAGATGAGCAGGAGCATGCTGCTGTAACACCTGAAATAATCGTTCGAGAAGCCCCAAGTGGTATGATGGACACAAGAACAAAGTGTTTTGACACAACATCATCTTGTGGACTGAACCTATTAAGTATTTTCATTCGGGTTTAACTGCAATAGAAAGTCCTGGTCTGCTTTGACCAATATAATTAGCTGTGTTAAACGGTTTCAGTGGCCTGGTATTGATCAGCCGTTTACCTTTGAAGGTTTGTTCTGCCTGTATAAAACTTAACTGGCACCCACGTTTGCTGGAAATTGCTGCCTTCACCTCTGAGCAAATAGAATACAGGTTGACGCAAATAAATCAAAGCTGGCATCACTCCATGGAAATCCTGTTGTTTCTAATAGGGGCCTCACCTAAACCGACTGAAGTTTCATTGGAGAGCGGAGATAAAATGCAACTGGAGTCTGATGTAAGAAACTTGACTGTGCTGAAGCACTGCAGATTCATGTGAGTTCCAGCAGGTTCTTCCTAGTGGCCCAATTGGCTTGGTGTAGCCACATTCTCTGCTGGCCTCCTTTCAAGTTCCTTCTGTTTCGACAACTCAGACGGAACTGCAGGAGCATTCATCAAAAGATTGGACACCCCCACGGAGAATCTGGCAATCTATGGCTTTAAAGCAAGCTGTCCTGAAGCTGGCTAGACTGGAGCAAACTCTGCATCAATGAGGTGACATGTTCTCCCTGTGAGAGAGTCTGCAGCAATCCTCGTGGAAATGCCTCGCCGAGGCTTACTGGTGCAGGCTTGGACACGGCGTCTATTACTAGGCCTCGCTCTTTTCTTCTGCCTCATCTCCCTTTTGTATTTGCTAGAGTGCACGCCTCGGCCGGACAATGACCCTCTCCTCCTTGGCATTCCAGGAAAACCGTACGGCAAAGAATACTATCAGGCTCTCCTGCAGGAACAGGAAGAGCACTACCAGACCCGGGCAGCGAGTCTCAAGCGGCAAATCACTCAACTGAAGCAAGAACTCCAGGAAATGAGTGAGAAGTTGAAATCCGTGCAGGAGAAGAAGAGTCCATCTCTAACTGGTGGAGGGGCCCAGAACAGTAAGGAAAACTTTCCCAACGATCTACTGGAGTTCTTGCACTCACAGATCGATAAGGCTGAGGTTAGTGTAGGTGCCAGAGTGCCCAGCGAGTACGCGGTGGTGCCATTTGAAAGCTTCACCCTGACCAAAGTGTACCAGCTGGAGATGGGCCTGACCCGGCACCCTGAGGAGAAAGCAGTGAGGAAGGATCGAAGGGACGACTTTGCTGAAGCCATTGAGGCTGGAATAGAAGTGTTGAATAACCATGAGGAAGAGGAGGAGGAAGATAATGATGATGATGATGACGACCGAGCACAGAAACACAGCTACACTGAGAATGACTTTGTAGAAGGTGCAGTGCCATATATTTTATATTAAATGACAGACATAGTATTGGAATAGATGTATACAATAAGCAAGACTTGTATTTGAATAGAGCCTTTAGGATCTCTCAGTAGCACTAATTAAGTGATTTTGAAGTGTTGTCACTTTTTAAATGAGACAGCCTGTTTGCGCAAGACAAGCTCCTATAGTAGATATTTTTAGCGAAGCTGTTGGGGGAATTAAGTTGGTACCTCCCTGGAGTGTCAGCCTAAGTTTCTGTGCTTAAGATTCTAGAATGGGATTTGACACACAGTGAGGTTATATAGTTACAGGGCTGTGCTTTTAAGACATTTTTAACTAACAGATCGCAAGAGTCCAGCTGCTTTCAGTTAATATAAGCAAAAATAAGCTTTTAACTACATAACATATTGACTTTTAATGGAACTGCTGCCCACGTAGAACTAGAATTCTGTTCTAGTGCTGTTCTGTGGGACTGTTGTATTGCCACTGGCACAGTCCTTTGGACGATTCAAGCAGAGTCTCAGTTTCTCATGTCTGACGGTTTAGCTGAACGTTGACGAATATATGGTACTCGTTGAAAAGGAACAAGGTGTTCTCTGTTCCACCAAACACTCCTGTCAACACCCTCACAAGTAGATTAACTAGTTAATCATCTTCAGTCTTGCTTGTAGGATTTGGTCTGTGGAAAATACCACGTTTTTATCTTAAACAATCCAACAGTGAAATTGCAGACTCAGTGCCAATACATCATTCATCAGGGGTAGCATTTTTCTTTCCTTATTTTAAATGGGTGATTGCCTGCCAGTCAACCAGGGTTGGAACTGGCAGAGCTCCATAGAGTAGATATGCATAAAAGAAAGAATTTACATTGATGCTGACCTTTCATTTTCTCAGGGCATCCCAAAGCACTTCATACTGATGAAGTACTTGCTTTACAGTGTAGCCACTGTTGCAATGTAGGAAACATGGGAGCCAATTTGCACACAGCAAACTCCCAAAAATGACATTACAATGACCCTGTTAACTGGTTTAAATAGTTTAATATGAAGGATAAATATTGGCCAGGTCACTTGAAAGTATTCCTCTGCTCTTCTTTGAAACTCTGTAAGTGCAGGTTACCCTGACTGAAAGAAAAAAAGAGAGTGCTGGAGAAACTCAGCAGGTCTGGCAGCGTCTGTATAGAGGAACATAGCTAATACTTTGAGTCCAATGACCCTTTGTCAGAACTGCAAGCAGCTAGGAAACACTGGTATGTATGCTGAAGACGGGCGCTGCCATGGGGGAAGGAGGGAGTAGAACGCATGGAAACGACACTGAGAGAGTGAGAGAGAGAGAAAAAAAATGGAAAGACAAACAAAGGGATTGCTGATGATAAACCAGGAGGCAGATGAATGCTGGGTAGGGTGTTAACAAGAAGTGTGAATGGTTGAAAATTGGTTAGCTGTACTGGGAGCAACTCATACAAGATAGGACCTTGGGTTGGACGAGGGTAACAAACATGGAGGAGGGTGTTCACGTTCTGAAATTATTAACCTCAATGTTGGGTCCTGATCATTGTAAGGTACCTAGACGGATGATGAGACAATTTTCCTGGAGCAAGATTTGAGATTTGCAGCATACCTGAGATGAAAATGTTGGCAGGGACAGGCAGCTTGAAGCTCGGGGTAATAGTTTACAGCTAGAGTGTCAGTATTCCGCAAAGTGGTCATCCAGCCTGCGCTTTGTCTCACTAATGTGAAGGAAACCACACTCTGACCAGCGAATACAGTAGACTAGATTGAATGATGAACAGGTAAATTGTTGCTTCACCTGGAAGGCGTGTCTGGGCCCTTGGATAGTGAGGAGGGAGGAAGTAAATAAGCAAGTGTTGCACCTTCTGTGATTCTTGAGAAGGTGCCACGGGGTTGTGGGGACGTGTTGGGAATGAAGGAGGAGTGGACTAGGTTGTCCTGGAGGGAATGGTCCCTGTGAAATGCTGACAAGGAAGGGGAGGGGAAAATGTGTCTGGTGGTGGCATTCCGGTGGAAATGGCAGAAATAGTAGCTTATGATCCTTTGGATGTGAAGGCAAATGGAATGGAAAGTGAGGACCACAGCACTCTTGTTGGGGGAGGGGAAAGAAGAGAAAGGATGAGGGCAGAATTGCAGGAAAGGGGTTGGACATGGCCGAGGGCCCTGTCAATCATGGTGGCAGGGAATCTTTGGTTGAGGAGAAAAGGTAGGCAATTCTGAGGCTCCCCGTGGATGGTGGCATCACCAGAACAGATTCAACGAAGACAGAGAAACTGGGAGAATAGAATGGATTCCTTACAGGAAGCAGGGTGTGAGGATATATAGTCGAGGTAATTGTGGGAGTCGCTGGGTTTGTAGTGGACATCAAAGGCCAGACTATCCCAGGAAATGGAAACCAAAACTGGATGATAAGTGGCATGGAACAATTTGAAACCTTGTTGCTCAGTGCTTCCATTACCTAAAATTTTTTCCTAATGTGGTACATGCGAGTAAATGGACACTCAAGTTCATTTGAAAATGCAATTGAAGGACTAATTTGCTTAGGTTCATTCCAATTACATTTCAGTAGAAGTAAAAAATTAATTTTAAGGATGCTCTTAGAGCTGATGATTTATATCTGTAGTTGTACATCTGAGAACAGCTGATCAGATTGGGAGTCAGGATTGATCTAAGCCTTTCAAGTGTCAGCTTGACTTGGCTAGTAACAATATTGCTTTCAACTCTGACAATTGTGCCTTTGGGCCCCACGACTACACAATGCAGCCTGAGATTTTAAGACTGCGTTGAAGCTGTGAGATTAAACTGAGATCTTTGGTTTCAAGCCCTCAAACACCAGTTATCTAGCAGTTGAATTGGATGTTGATTTCTTTACTCGGAGGAGTGCTTGAGCAGGAATGTTTTGCCACAGCAAATGATTCAAGCAGAAATGATTGCATTTTTTAAGGGAAAATTGGACAGTGACTTAAAGTAAATGTTTGAAACCAATCGATTGAAGTGAGTTAAGGACATTAGGATTCATTTTGGATTGTTCTAACAAAGAGTTGGCACAGAGTCTGTGGACTGAATGGTCTCTTCCTGTGGCATAAACCTCTTGGTTCTGTTAAGCCTATCAGAACATTTTTCAAATATCTGAAAAAGGATTTCTTTTTTTTTCTCCTGGTCGCCCCACTATTCAAATGTTCACTCTGTTGAAAAGAGAACAAACTTGTTTTCGTGTTCTCAGTTTGTTTACAGTGCTGCATGACCAATGAGTTACTTTCTCACAGGGCATTCTCTTGAATATTCCGATTGTCTCCCATCCTTCCCACTTCATAACCTTGAATTCATCTAAAACTTTGCCTACATTGACTTGGCACTGAATTACGAGTTGGCTTAAATGCAGTAATCTGTTTGAAGACAGAATTAAGATAGCAGTGAGTGGCTGCATTCAGGTGAAAACTATCACATCCTTTTGATGCCATCTCATTAATGGGTAGTTTGAATTTATCCATATTATACAGAAAAACATATTGTACATGATGGTCTTCCTAGAAGCTCCTTTGCTCAAGGCAGTAGTGTGTACCTCAACTTTATGTAAGGTCCCAGGTTCCATCCACATGGGGAATAATTGGCATCAGTGGCACTGCAGGAGAGGAAGAGAATGGAGAAATTGGAGAGAATATTTGCAAGAGTTATTTCAATTGTGTGTATAAATTGCTGACATATGATTGTTTTTCTTTGATACCCGTCCATTTCTGGTCACCTTTCAGTTTACCCCAGCTTGACTTTCATTGCAACAGCAAAGAAGCATAAGAACCTGTTCCCAAGCCTGTTCTGACATCAATTGCTAAACCATGCCAGAAAATAACAGCCCTACACACCACCCACGTTATAACAGGGACTACGCTTGAAGAACCATTTCACTTCTTGCAGTAATATTTAGGATATTGTAAGGTCTTGAAACATGCTACATAAACAAAAGTTCCAGACAGAATAGGTAGGGTGGTCTCCAGAAGAGGAAGAACTGGGTGCACTAAGTTAAAGTGATTAGCAAAAGCATCAAAGGTGACTTGAGGAAAAATATTTTTAGGCGGTGAGTGGTTAGGATCTGGATTGCACAGTCTGAGAATGTGGTGGAATGTTTCCATCTTGAATTCCAAAAGGGAATTGGATGAATATAAGAACAGAGGAAATGTACAAGACTGCAGGCAAAAGGCAGAGAAACTGATTCTGGCAAGTTGCTGTTGGCATGGACACAACGGGTCAAGGGCTTCCTCTTCAGCTGTAATCATTCTGTGATTCAAAATATTTACTTCTTTATTGTCTCTTATCTCTCCCTGTTGGGAGAAACCTGGATTCTGTCATGTGTCTTTTCCATGCTGATGGGAAGATGTTAAATTATTTCTTCAACTTTTCACCTCCTCAAGGGAACAATGCTGTGGACAAGACTCTTCCTATCCCTCTGCATTAACCCATGGTCCAGTGCCTTACTGTTCTGAGACATCATCCTGTCATGCTGCAGCCTGTGATGTTCTTTCACAGTCCTTTTTTCCTGCAGGGAGCAATATACTAATCCTGATGCAGTATTTATGATGACGCAAATAGACTATACAGGTGTTTAATTGAGGAAGTGAAAAGAGTTTAGAGCATTTAGGACTAGTAAGATCTTCTTCCATTTTTCTGTGTAATTTCTTTTATTCATTCACTGGATTTGGTTATCGCTGGCTGGGTCAGCATTTATTGCCCTTCCCTAATTCCCTTTGACGTGGTAATGAGCTGCCTTCTTGAAGCATTACAGCCACAGTGCTGTTAGGAAAAAAGTTTCTGGATTTTGACATGGCAACAACTTCATTAATATGTTTTGTAATTGGTATATCCTTTATATATATTTATTTGTGTGTGTATAAAATTTATTCAGACTTGATTATTAGCCTAAAATTTACTTGAGACTATAATGAGCAAGCTTGTTTACAGATCTGAGACAAAATTAAATGGGCATTAAGAGCCTTGTGTGCAT